ATGTAAACAAATGAGCCTGTGCATTTTATCAAACAGTGACTGCAAAATTACAATGAGAAATCAAAATCTAAATGTGCATTATGCAAGGGGAATAAATTGAAATTGAAATAAATTCAAAAAGTGGAAAATTACAAATTTATTTTTCCCTTTTGCATTCTTCATATTGAAATCAATTTCTTCTTGAACATGAAGGGTCCCACAGTGTTACTTCAAATCTTTCAGTCGTAATCACATTGAATGCAACATCACGAATAACATCTACAAGTTTGTTTACAAACAAACGAGAATAATTAGAAGCTGCCTCCACATATTTTCGTAAGATACTCCCTGTGTTGTATTATGCCTCAATACTCGTACTGTTATTACGAGTACAACACTGTCACATTATAATCTAGTATCGGTAATTAGTTACCTGCAGTGTATACCACTTCAGATGCTATTATTTTAAACAAAGAGTTAGTTAGGGCTTAGGTTGAGGACAGGTCGCCCAGCTGTACTGTTAGTATGCAAATTTCTTTGTTTCTGTTTCCTCGTGGTGAGCACTGAAAGCAAATTCAAGTTAGTCTCACCATGGAGCTCCATGGTCTCACCCAGAACACAGTCCTGGAAGGTTGTTCTTAGGCAACCACTTGCTGGGGTCTTGTGACGAGCCAAGTTCTGCTTTTTGTATGGGGCGCTAGGGAAGTAGCTATATCTCTAGTATAAGCCTGAGCCAGCTTTGGAGCCTATGTGTTCAGATTTTCTGGCAGGAACTGTACAAAAAGGACAGTAGCTTTAACTAGCTATTGTGGGTATTTAGGGCCAGCACGTCAGAGGTGTCTTGTCGTGTACGTACAACTCAATTGCTGTGCACCTGGGCTTCGTCACAAAAAAAACTGAATGCAAACTCATTGTAAGTAGAATTTCGTTGTAGAGTTTAAATATATATTTCTGTAAAATTTTGATACTCCACTGTTTCAAAGAATGACGTGAAATCTGTAAGTTTTATGCCTTAGTATTAAGTTTTTATATTTATTGTGATTTTATTACTGTAAAATGACTAATTTTAACTGGGTTTAAATTTCACTGATTTACCATTTCAGGCATATTCAGTGGGGTTTTAAATTCACGGTTTCGTCATTTGGATAATGTGTTCTATGCTAAATTTTTCATATTCACTGTGTTTTAATTTAGCGCATTTTTCCAGTCAGCGAAATAAGCTAAATTAAAACCCAGTGAATAATTACCCCTTTTACAGTATGGTGCTGTTATTTTTCATAGTGCCATCTTGAGTTTATCAAGCAGTTAGTGTTACATTACCGGAAGATACGCGTTGTCTCACTTGGAACCGCGTGC